TGTCTACGGCCATATCACGCTGAAAGCACCGGTTCTCGTTCGATCACCGAAGTTAAGCAGCGTCGCGCCGGGTTAGTACTTGGGAGGGAGACCACCTGGGAATACCCGGTGTCGTAGACTTTTTTTTGCATTTTTTTTAATCAGTTCATTGAATTGCATCACAATTATTTATTACCATTCAAGTTTTTTGTCGAAAGTTGTAAAATATAAAATATGTTATAAAAACAAATACACACAAATGTATACTGTACTTAACTAACTCGTTGATAAAAATGTAACTGAAAAAATGCGACTAAAAATATTTTTCACTCACATTTTATTTCCAAAATAATTTTAAAATATATACAATAAATGCTACCTTGCTAATAGTAAACCAACTAACTTAGTATCTACAGTAACAAGTACAGTAACAAACAAGTAAATAATTTGTTTATGCCCTAGTTACAATACTCTCACGATTCTCATCACATATTTTATTAAACGCATCGTTTGGGTGAAGCGATAAATCACGTGTCCTTTGATGGGGCGGATCGTCGCCGACAAAACACCGGATCCACGCCATCACCGCAAACGGCACAATCAATACGAGTGCCAACACAATGAGCGCGAGTCCGGGCGCCGAGTCTATGGTGGCGTTAAATATACTCGTGAACACTACGGCGCCGACCAATGGCATCAGTGCCTCCGCGCAACCCATACAGCAAAACACTTTACCCAATTCGTCCGGGTTGACCACCTTGGACAAATGCGAACGAATGCCGATCGCACCCAACGGTGCCAAACAGCCCGGTATTAGCGCGAGGTAATAGCCCAGTGGTGTTAGTACAACACCCCGTATAAAATAAAGTGAGAAATTGGATACCAAACCGACCATGGACAGTGTACTGTCACGCATTTTAAATACCTAGGCAAAATAAATTGGTTAATTCTAACATGTTTTATATTAGTTTGTCATATATAAGTACCCTCAGCAGCACCGGTGCGACGATAGTGGTTGTCAAAGTGGTCACAACATGACCGATGGCCGAGCCGTTACTGTAGGCTCGGGAGCCCCAGGCGTAGGCCCGTTGGCTGAACTGAAACATGAAGAATACGGGAGCGATATGTGAGAGTAGATAACAAGCGGTAGACAAAAACAACAGCCATATCCGGAGCCGCAGTCGGTTTGGCCGACGCTTGAAACAAGTGATGAGAATCTCTTTAACGTTACCGAAGTTGAGCAACAATTTGAGCGGATGTTTGTGTCGGTTGTCGTCAAACCTCTTGAGCCGTTTGTCCATTAGTGACAAACTCTCTTCGGCGCTGGTGTCCGGACCCATGTCCTGGGTTTCACCGCCGGGAAACAGTCGGTCCCATTGCCTGATGTCTCGCTCCTCATCGATGGTAAACACGGCCCACAACAGTGCCAACAAACTGGTGCCACCGGCTATGATAAACACAGCCGTGTAGTTATGCAACTGACCCGTGTTGAACATGGGCTCCGTGTTCAGCGCCACACCGCCCACATAACTGCCCAACGGATGAGCTAGGTGTAAATAAATAATTAGATTTATTTTTGTGCTAATTAATATGGGTTACTTTTGATCACTCGTACCAATTCCGGCCACAATCTCCAGGAATGTCATTCTGATGGCTCGCATATGGGAAGGTGTGGTGGAGGCCACGTATGACCAGACGGACACAAACACCGCTAATATACCACCACCTGATATGGCCGGCAGTGTTGCAATTAACAAAACTGAATAGGCTATATGGAATCATAAAAGTTACAAGTTAATTTAGTTAATAATTAATTCATCTCTTGTTTTAACTTTAAGACTTATTAAAACGTACGCCAATCAAAGTACCAATCATTGAGCGCTAGTATCACAGCCTCGACAACACCGGCGGCGGCGCCGACCATAAGCAACACCTTTTTGGCTTTAATATAGGTGTCAGTCCACGAGCCGATGAATAAGGAGGTCAACACTGATGGCACTGTACTAAAAATGGTCATGTATATTGTAAACCGAGTTACATCGGTTAATATACGAGACTTTACACCCAGGTAGTCATCGTTGGGGGACATTGTGGGCAAACTGTGGCAATACGTGGCGTTGATGTCGTACGTGTGACGGCACACCTTGTCCTGAACTAACTGATCCATTGGCACTCTCTTCATAGTGAACACAAACATATAGGCGAATAGAAACGGCTCCACATTTAATAGGGATATGAATGAGTGGATTAATTGCCATTTCGTGGCCCCCATTCTTGTTCCGCAATTCTTGGCCATTAGTTTGAGTTTTATTTAGATTTTATTTTTTAGTTATTTTCAAGCATTTTTGTTGCAAAACTTATAGCACTCACAAAATAAAAATGTTTTGAAAACAAACTTTTATATTTTGAAACACAAGGTTATCTTGTAATTGTACGTAAATATAATAATTATGCCTTAATTAATATGTAAAATAATTATTTTATATTTATTTGAAACAGATAGGTTCATTAGTTACTTATCAAACAAGTGGTAAGTTGTATTCTTATTATTATTGTTTATTATTGAAGAATATTCAAACATCATAAAAATTATATTATCATAGTTTATATTCATAAAATGTTACCATAACTACCAAGTAGATATTTTTCTTATATTCAAACATTATATTCTTTTGGCACACTTGTGCTAATTGATTCACATAATGCAATATTTAACATCGATAATTATAATAATTGCATATTGGTACTTTACTTATTTATAACAATATTCACACAAAATATTATAACTTTGACACACATTTATATAACTTATTTTTTGTAGTATAAATAGTAAATTAAAATCAACTAATATTAAACAAATGTAGTATTGGATTTCATAGCTAGTTAGATAAAAATTAAACAATAAACAGATACATCCTGATAATGTATCAGTGATAAAATAATATATTTGTTTATTAACAGTTGGTGATAATTTTCTTATCACCTGTTTATTATGTGACATTAAGTACAATACTGTGCAATGTATACAATAATATGCAATATTAATACTGTATACTTGATGTTTATAAATGCTTGGTATAAATTGCCTTGATAAAACACATGGTAAGTATTAGACAGGTTGTGGAAAATAAAAACTTTACTGAAAATGAAAAAATAGATCATAATTTATAAAAGTGGATTATTTCTAATTTAATTTACAAGATTACTTATTTATATTTCACATATTATTTGTTTTTACTAAATAAATATTCCATTTATATAACTAAAAAAATTTTTAATTGGGCGACAAATAGGCAACTTCCCCTTAATGCCTGACAACAAACATTTCATCTCGCTCTCTTTCTCTCTCTCTCTCTCTCTCTCTCTCTCNTAACTAACATGTACCCTAACTTACTAGTTAATTAATTGTTAATAATAGTTCACATAAACTGTAACAAAACAATTGCTATAAAATTGTGAGAATAAATAATTTTTATTAAAAAATGTTTTCATAGATTTAAGACTAGATTTAAGTTTAAATTATAAAAGTGTGTAAAACAGCTGTCAATGTATTGCAATACAAAAGGGCTATCAATGAAAGTGTGTATCAAATATGAGCTCAAAGAGTGTGTATAAAAGGACTATAATCATAAAGTACCATGGTACAAAAACAGCGCTGTAAAAGGTTAAATGATCATGATCAAGTGTCTGATAGTCCAAAAAGTCCTTTTATTACATTTATTGTAACTCGTGTTTAATTTATTTTAATAGTTTATCATTTATTAAATATTTACATACATGAATATAAATTAATGTACATTTATTTTAATATATAGTACTGCTATCATTGCTAACTCCATCATAATTAGTGCGAGTTTTACTTAAATCACAATCACTCACATCAACTGCATTATTATTAGTACCACCACTATTAACACTGGGCTGCAAATGTGGCAATATGGTATAATTATCGATCCATACAATCACCATGAACGGTATAACGAGCAAAACGGCTATGATGATAAATGGCAAGCCTTGCATCTTATCAATGGTCTCATCAAATATAATGTTAATAACTTCGGTCGCAATCAATGGTGTCGTGGCTTCGGTTGCGGCGAAAAAACTCAACACTTTTCCCAACTCGTGATCCTTAAACAGTTTGTACAGATGGGACCGAATGCCAACTATCGCGTAGAGACCCAAACACCCGGGTATTAGCGAGTAGTAGTAACCAGAGGGCGACACCACTACACCACGGATCAGGTGTAGCGAGAAAAACGAGACCAAACCCAGTAGTGCCAGGTGTGTGTCTTTCAGTCTCAGCCCCTGAGGTATGCGTTAATTGTTAAATAAAATGTCAATTCATTTGATAAACTAAATAAATGTAATGATAACTGAATACCAGAAGTACGGGACCGATAGCGGCGGCCCCGCCGGCAATTGCCAAACATCCGAGCGTAAAGGCAGTGACGTATTGGTCGGGTGTCCAGTGATAGACCCTTTGCGAGAACTGTTGGCCGAAGACAATGGGACCCAAATTGGATGAGACATAACTGATGACCGATAAGAAGAGTATTAGGATCTGAAAGCGGAGGTAATTGTCGCGCCGTTTAACCAAAGACATCAACATTTTGTGGCCATTCTTGATGTTAAACAAGCGCTTCAACGGGTGTACAATGTCTTTATCGAGGAAGTGCCGGATCCGGGCGTTCACCCGGTGCTCAACGCTATGATGTACAGCGGGATTGTCCACAGAGTCGGCCCCGTGTCCGCCAAACCTGCGCTCCCACTCACGAGTGTCCCGCTTCTTGTCGACCATAAGTGCCGCCCATATAAAGGCCAGACATAGTGTAGTGCCCGCTATTGTGAACACACCGGAGTAGTTGTGCAGTTGACCCCCATTGAACATCGGGGTAGTGTTTAGTATGTGAGCCCCGCCATATATACCCAGCGATTGAGCTGTTCAAAATAATTTTTACATTACATTGTATCTTTTATTATGTATATAAATAATTGTATTTTAAATTCAAAACTTACCCAGCATATTTATAATCTCGGCGCACGCTATCCTATGGGTGAGATAATGTGTTGGAGTTGTCACCGCGATGTATGGCCAGATAGCGGTCAGCACAGCGAACAATCCGCCAGACAATATACCAGGCACGTATGCTATTAGTATGTATGTTTTGTCTAGGTGCAAACAATATTATTATACAATTATAACTATAGTTACATTAAAATGTTTAAGAATTAATTTGTTTTACAAAATAAATACAAACCTAAATCAAAATAATAGTCATTAACAATAAGTATTAGACACTCGGCGACAATGGCCAGAGCGCCGGTCATTAGCAGCCACTTCTTGGCCTTAATATAGGTGTCCGTCCAGTGACCCACTATTACAGTGGCCATTAGCGATGGGACAATGACCATGGCAGTTTTATATAGCATTAGTTGTTTTTTATCAGCCATTATCTTGTGTCTCATGTCCAGCGGGTCGTCATTGGGTAACATTGTGTGCAATTGTTGACAATAAATTGCCGTTAAATTGTACGTAAATCTGCATATCTTGTCGGCCACCAACTGTTCCGTTAATTCCCGTTTCATTGTATATACAAATGTCAACGCAAATAAATATGGCTCCACACGAAGTAGATAGATGAATTCAAAAAACCGTAGTATCTTCCACATGGTTGATGGTGATTTAATTAATTATAATTGTTTTTACAATATGTGTCATAATTGGTTAACAAATAGGAACTTATTATAAATTATTGTTATATATTTTTACTATGTTTTATTTTATTTATAAAACAAAGTATAATTATTACACCTTTTAACTGACATTATTTTATTATATTAGCAGATTATAATTAGAGTTAATATAACCTTTAAGGCAAAAAACTGTTATCAAACGTGGTTACGATTGTAAGCCATACATGAGATTATTGTTATCTGAGATAATAACAATTTGTTATACATTTTTGTTGTATTAGTTGTAACTCATTTGTAGAGATAACTTATCAAAATAGGATTTTGGGTTAATGTTAATAAGTGTCAAGTATTTATACCGAGAATAGTTATATAATAGTTACTATTGACTGTGTTTTGTTAATATTTTACTGTACTTTATACGTGTAAATCAATTAAAGTAAAATAATATGTAATGTATGATATTTAATTTATAAATTGAAATATTGGGGTTTTAAGGTTTTTATACTAAAATAATAACGGTTTAAAATATAACACTTTGCGATTTGATGATTACATTAAACTGTGAAATATAGTTTACACAACACTATCGGCAATCATACTGTTAGGCAATTGTAGTCTTTGACGGGGAATATTATATTTGTTAGAACGTGGTTGAATAGAATTAGCACGTATTAAATGCGGATTATTTGTAATGCTTACATTCAATATGTTTTGATTATTAGCGACATTAATGGTCTGGTTTTGGCAGAAATAGATTTTATATTTGTCGGACAATTGGGTGATTAGATTAGTAAACATAAGGACCGATACACCAAACCATAGGCCCACAAGTGAGCCCATATATACCAAGTACTCTTCAAATGATAACTTCAATGATACCTCGTATAGCATATCGGGATCTGACGGTAATTTTACATAGATTTCAAAACTTGTCAAATCGTGTGATGTTTTTTCCGCTTTATATTGAGGGATATAATAGTGTTTAATGCACTCAATTTGATTGCATTTATTTAAGCAATCTAATTCATTATCAGGGAACGAAGTGAACGCCATTGAATTATTAACATAAAAACGGGCTCGCTCATTAAAGCCATCATCACCGTGGTAAAGTAGCGTGTTACCGGAAAACACTTCACTTTCTTGGTCAATTAGGCGAATCATGCATCGCATTACGCACTTATCAAGTGTTTGGCCTTTTAAGCATTTATTGCCACTTAGTATGTGACTTAATTGGACAGTATATAACCGGTACGTAATTGTTAGAGCACTATAATCATTTGGATTGCCCACCCAATTACCCTTGCGGTTTATATCTCGTAGCCTTTGTTGGCGTGAATGCACATGAACACTTAGCCACCGTATCATCGTGGTATTTGTTATTGTCAACCAAAGCGCCATGTCACCTTGATGGTTCCGGAATTTAGTCTCGTACCGTTCATTTGACTCGTCGCCCACCCATTGGGACAATATTGTCAAACATGAGCTGTCACTCAGCGAATTAAGCGCCCGGCCATACGGGGCGACATCCGCGCAATTTTCCCGTTTATTTTTATAAAGGATTAAACATTCAAATAAATCATCATGGTCTATGAGTTCGTTCATTTGATCATTTATAGACTGGTTGGCGAATACGTCTCGTCTAAATTGACCATGTTTGTCAAAGTATTTATACTTTACCCCCGGTCGTATCAGGGCACTGGTCGGCACGCATAGTGTTAGCGCCGGTACACTCAACTCGTCGCTAAACATGACATTGGTACTTTTTTCGTATGACAAGTATATTAAGCTGATTTCATATGTATGGTACAGAAATCCACTTAATAGTAGTGTTTTCAATAATAGATTAATTACTGTTGATGTGGACAACATTTTGAAATGACACTTTAAAATCATACTAAAATCTATTATGCTTGATGAAATATTAATTCCTGATTTACTGACATTCAAACTAAAACATACATTTCAATATAATTATTTTATTTTTATGATATTCCGCTTTTAATATTATTACACTATCATAAATTTCATTATATTATAATATATTTACATTTAATTATTTTATTGTTACAACTATATTGATTTTTAATCTAAAGATATTGATCTTTAGCATTGTGTCAGCAAGGTTGCATTATGTGTGTTTGTATTGATATAGACTACGAAAATACATTCTTGTTTACAGTATGTTAGATTACAAATCAATATGGTGTAAAAATAAAATCAATAATTAATAACTAATTAATATACTTTTATATTACTGTAAATATTTTTTAAAAATGATCATGAAAGTAATAAACTTCAGCTTATTATCGTCGGAACCTTAATATAAATATTAATAAAATACAATAATTTGACACCATTTATTTTAATAAAAATAATTTTATTCACTATTTATTCACATTTATTATTATTATTAATATTTACATAACATGTAAATCTGTTACTACATTATCTACACTATTGTAATCATACAGAAGTACTGTACATTATATTATCTATTATATTTACACTAAACTAAAATTATATAATAAACAAGTATTAAGATTAATATATATTTACAATTAACCAGATTGATTAAAATATGTACAACTTATAACATTACAATTTATAAATCTAATATTGTATATTACACATCACTAGATTTTTCATCATAATTATTTTTGTTACTATTATTTTTACTATTATCGGGAGTTAATATTAATTGCAATGAGCTTGTACCTCTATAAATGGTGATGGTAACAATTACGGGACCAATCAATATGACCCCGGCTACTAGTAAAAATGCACCTGGCATGCTTTTAACTGTAGCATCAAATACACGTACAAACAACTCGCCGGCCATCATTGGTGTATTGGCTTCGTTAGCTGCAAATACGCTAAATATTTTGCCCATCTCTCCCACCTCGATCATTTTGGACAAATGTGATCGCATGCCTATTATAGCTAACGGCGTTAAACAGCCGGGTATTAACGAGTAATAGAAACCACCCGATGATAACGCGGTGCCTCTAATTATTAGCATAATGAGATGTGATAATAAACCTACGAGCGCCAATGTCATGTCACTTAGTTTAAGCACCTGGATCAAATAAAAAATAAATATATTAATTATAATTTTCGGTTCATCTTGTTGCATAAATATGTAAATATAATAATTACCCCGATTAGTACACCTGCTAAAAGTGTAATGGTGATGGCATTTACCAGATACTCGACAGCCGTCGCGTTACAGTAAGCGATAAAATCCCACGAATAGGCCTTATGGACAAACTGTCTCATCACCATAACTGGTCCCATGAGTGACATCAGATACGACGACACGCACACAAACAGTAGCAATAGTAGATGAAGTCGGCCTGAATTGTCCCGTCGTTTAATCAAAGCCAACCCAATCTGGTGTCCATTTCTGTGATTGAATAACAGTCTCATCGGATGTTTGTCCACATTGTCGGTGTATTGCTGGAGCTTTTGGTTCACCCGATCGTCGATTGTTTGGGTGTCGGTGTTGTGGTCGGTGTCGGACACTATACTGAACCGCGACTCCCAGAGCCTAATGTCCCGCTCCTCGTCCACCATGAATACGGCCCATACGAGTGCCAGAAGTAGGTGTAGGCCACACATTATCAATATACCCGTATAGTTGAATAGGGATTTTGTTTTGAATATAGATTGACCGCTTAGCACATATCCGCTTGTATAGCATCCAATAGATTGAGCTAGAGAAAATTAAAATTAACAAAAATAATTAATATTTAGAAATATTATAATGATGTATAATAACAAACCTAAGTAGGTAATTATAATTGCTAAAGTAATCCTTTTGGTTAGCAAATGTTTTGGTGTTGTGACCGATATGTACGCCCAAATGGCAGTGAGCAAGCTAAATAGACCACCCGATAGTAAACATGGTACGTACGATATTAATACTAGATAATAAGCTAATAAATTATAAAGATTTAATTAATTTTTGTTTTAATTAAATGTTGTATAATAAGTTTTTATTTACATTCGTCAAACCAATAGTCATTTGCTATAAGAATCACACATTCAATAACCATGGTAAAAGCACTGACAATCATGGTCCATTTTTTGGCCTTAATAAAAGTGTCTGTCCACTGACCGATGATGGTCGATGCGATAATGTTAGGCAATAAAACTAAACCCATGTTGTAATACATAAATGTCTTTTTGTCGTCAATTATGTGTGACTTCATATTCAGATAGTCATCACTTGTGTCGGCCATAGAGTGTATTAATGAACAATAGGTTGCATTCAATTGGTATTTATTAAGACAAATCTTGTCAATCACCAGTTGTTCCGTAAGTGATTTCTTCATTGTATAAACAATTGTAAATAAAAACAGATACGGCTCTACAGTTAGCAGTTTAAGAAAATCGCATGATCTTGCTGATTTGTATTTCAAGTCACTTTTTGTATACATATTGTGACTAACTTGTGATTTGTTAAAATTGAATTAAATTTTTAAAATGCTAAATTAAACTCGTTAAATAATTGTATAATAAAATTTAAATGGTTATGCCTTTTATTCTGTATTAGCAGGATATTGAGTTTACACAGATTGAATACTTTTATATG